AGTGTAGGACATGAAGATGAGTGTAGCTAAAACCGGGACTCCATTATTACCGCATAGCCTAGCTAGTCTTGCTGAGTGGTTACAGCCAATAATGATGATACCAATTAGCAGCCAGATGTAGAGCAGAAACGCAAACTGTAACCATGTCTTCCAGTAACTGTCTAGCCCATTGAAGAAACAAGTTTGAATACCAAGATCAAGATTAAGCCATGCAATGAACTGACTCAGCACTGGTATACTGCCATTGGAAAAAAGAGCAGCTTCATTCAACTTGACTACATTAGCATAAAAGAGTAGCCCATTGATGCTACCTGAAGACACAGCTAACTTACTAACCATTAGAAATACCACTAGAGCTATTCCAGCAATCATGAATGCAGCCACTAGTGATAGATATTCATTGCTACAAGCCTGGCATTGATTGGAACCAAGCATGAGACTGAGGCCGGGCTGACATCCTCCACATAAAATACCTGACCTACCATTTCTACACTGTAGATCAGACTCATTGAGACTGAGGTGGACTGTAGATGTATCACAATAATCAAATGGACAGTTAGTGTGTGCCACTACACACTGATACTCTTGACTGTAGTACAACCAGTTATTACCGGATCTGCTAATATGATGAGGACTCTTATTGATATCACAGTGTGTCCCATTAATAGCACCAATCATATTATCACACTGACATGATCCTGACACAACACGAAGGCCAAGAGGACACTCCATGAATCTGATACTCACTGCCACTTGAGAGTTTATCAATCCTATATTTGCTGCAGATTTTCTGATCCCAATTTGAAAAGTGCCTTCGTTTTCTATTTTGTTGATTGCATATGTGAAATTTTTACATTTTCGTACTGTCTCTTGATTAACGTTTACATGCACTACCTCCAGACTTTGAGTGTCACTGGTAACTAGTACTGAAGAACTTATCCCTCCACATACTCCTACAGTTACTAGAGAAAGATTGATGGATTGACCGGGATATATTACACCATCTAATGATCTATCATCACAATTAACAGTCAAACCATCCCCACACAAACAAACACCTATTGGTGCAGATGTGACATATTTACTAAAAGAAATGTTTTGGCAGTTTGCAACATTTAGAAATTCATTTGACAAGGCAACCTGGCCATGATAAACTCCATTGTAAATATTGTCTCCAGACACTAATGCTGAATTATTTTTAAATATTGGGATAAAATTTTTGAATGTAAGGTGATTGTATATAAATGTGGAGTAACGAACCTCATTTACATAAATAGCACCACCCATTCCTTGTGCTGTATTGTTAATGAAATATACTTCAGTGCTACTGGTGACACTAGAATATCTGTCTATCCATATTCCACCACCATTTGTTGGAGATCTGTTATTGGATATAAATGAGGGACGATTTGTAAAATAAATGTTCCATTTTCCAAGAATAATTATACCAGTATTTGAATTATTAGTAATTGTGACATTTGTTAGTCTTAATGTACACCTGCCATTGCAGACTACATGGAGTGCTGGTTTAAAGCTATTAGTTATGAGGACTCCAGTGAGATGTACTGTATTGACATCAATAGACCATCGAGAATAAAAACGTATTCCATTGTTATTAGTGATATCAGTTGTTATATTAACCAGATGTACTTCATTATTAGTACCTTGCAAAATTGCAATTCCAAATTGAGTGTTTTTTATATTTGAATTAGTAATGTTTATAAAGTCATGGTCATAATAAGTTAGCGCAATTCCCATATAGCTGTGACTAGCTGTGATACTTTTTAGATATATATGATTATGGTTTTTGTGACACACCAAGTACATCCCATTCATTATGTTATTGGATACATTGACTCTAGTTAAATTTGCCATCCCATTTTGATTTAATATAATTCCAATACCAGTATTGTTATTACCAATAGCTGAGACATTATACAAATTTACTTTCCCATGTTGATTTAATACAATTCCAATACCAGTATTGTTATTACCAATGGCTGAGACATTATACAATTCTATCTCAATTTCCCCATTGCCAAGCATATCTATCCCATTTCTGCAAGACCAAAGTTTGTTTGATGTAATCACATCTTGTAGTATTATCCTACCAGTGTTATGATGAATACCTATACAATTGTTTGTAAGCTTCTCAGTACACGTAAACTTTGAATGTGATATTGTAACAGTTGAAAATACACTGGAAGGTTTTGCATTATGACAATAGGATTGATTTGCACTGATATTATTAATGGTCATTGCATTATTATCAATTAAATATAAGAGGCTGCACTTAATAGCAATACCTTCAATATTGACTGCACTGCAATCCTTTATCTTGATCATCAAGGATTCCTTAGTACATTTGATTACTGGTGGATCAGCCCCTTGTCCTTTAAGCACGATAGTGTCCAGTTTTTCAATGATAAGATGAGCATGCAACTCGTGCTCTCCTGGTAGAAATATTAGCGTAGTGTTTGGAGGCCAGTCAGTCTTATTTGTGTAATGGGAGAGTGTGTGGCATTCTCCACTGCAACTATGCTGCTTGCTGTTAACATAGTAAACACTAGTGTTGCTGCTGCTTTTTAAAGCTACTCCAGGGGATGAAGAGACAAAGAGAAGAAGTAGAGTGAAAATCATATTCATCACATAAAATATGAAGTCATCAAATAGGCTATAAAAGTTGAGAGAGCAATGAAGTTTTTGAGATGAAGTTGTTTTGATAAAATTTTTATAGTAATGTGTTCACATGCTGCATAAAGTAAACAAGCTAGATGCAATGCAGACATGCATGCATAAACAAAAGTGCATTATAATCTTTCAAAAGTACAAGCAAGTATTGGTGATTGAAAGCCATCAACTTTAGTGGCACACAGAGCGTTACTGATACTCATTACTTAATATGGAACAAAAACAATGAAATATAAGCAATGACAGCATTACTTTGTCTATATTATTAATTGAACACCTGCCATTAATGCAAGGGATGCTATTAGAGATGCATTATCAAGTATTCAATTTGGTGTTGTGTTGTGTTTGTGGAAAGCATGCATCTATATGCACTAATGTTAAGTGAGAAATGATATGGGTTTACATATCCATGTCCATATAAGTATGATTATTATCTTTTTGATTTTGTTTGTGACTTGTGTATGATCAGGACTCCTGGTTTGTTGTGCATGTGTGCAATGTTTCAGCAATGTTTTTTAAAGCTCAGTCATAGTTTATCCCTGTACATGCATAGTTTGCTTGTCTTTCTGTGTTTATCATGTGCTAATGATAACATGCAGCTCTGCATTCCAACATCCATTTGTTAGCCTAAATTTGTTCAACCTTTACACATTAAACTACAATACTAAATTGTGTGTGCATTTATGAGTTACTATGTATCATTTAAAATGTTTAACTTTGTATGGGGGATGGGATAAAACTTGTGGCCTTGTTTCTGGAACATCAGTTATCAGTAGTACTGATACTAAGAGAAGTATAGCTGCTGATAGTTATTAGTATTAATTGATGGTATTTCATTGCTTATCATGTCATATGTTGGATTCTCTATTGTAGTGACTGGAATGTCACTAGCCTCTTGAGTATGAGGTATAGAGTTTGCTTTACCTTTATAGCATTGAAATGATACATAGTACTAATATACACATACTTTTACCTTTTTTCCTCAGTATTGCAATCATTGCTAGTGATAGCATGAGAACAGCAAGTGTTGTGAGTCCAAAGATAACTCCAAGTACTATCTGTGATTGACCTATTGACAGCAGAGTTATGTACATGTGCATGCATACTGTACAAATCATACTTTGATGGTTGGTATTGTTAGTAGTGAGTGCTGTAACATTAGAGCTACTAGTTCCATATGTACCAATTGCTGATACTGTTAGGTAATACAATGAATGATCATTTAGTTTTATATTCCAGTGTATAATATAAAACTCATCAATATATTGAAGACTATCAATATCCAATAGATTTGATGTATTAAAAGCATTAGCTCCAATCAAAAGCAACTGTATCTTCTTTATAAAGCACTGATGCATCTATATATATATATATATATATATAATCTTATAGTGTATAGTGCAATTTCTCTTACTTGAAATCTTATGATTATTGTTTCATTGGTTAGATATAATGCAGATACATTGTCAGGTTTTGGTGTCAATGCTATTAAGAAGGAGAATTACTATTATTAATAATATATTTCGTGTACCTGTAGAGATGATTCTAATGCTGTCCTTACATTCACTTGACATGAGTAGTGCCAATTTGAAGGTATATACATTACAAGAAGACAAGTCTTCAGTATAATGATATACATTGTCATATTCAGTAACATTAATTGTTTCATTAACTGTTTGAAGTGAATCAGTGATGCTCAGAATAAGTATACTGTTGTTGTTAGGGATGATATCCCATGATACTGCAGTACTGTGAGATGTAATGGATAGGAACTCAAACTTATCTATAACTAATTAAACTATTATAAGAGCATATTAATAATACCTTGATATAGTCTGTATACAATATTAGTCCATCCTGATACTGCATCATAGCAATCTATGTCAGTAACATTGTAAGTATTTGCTAGTAGATGGTTATTATAATACCCATTGCCACTATTAATACCAACACCAGCTCTGTGTTTTGTCCATTCTATCAATCCACACTTGTATATAAACACAGCATATGTGGCATTACTTTGATGAGCTAATATAATCTGAAAATGATTAGACTACAAGAAAATTATTATTATAAGTTATAGATACTATTAACCTCAGTATTGTTGCAATAATAATCACCAAATGGACATAGATCATACCAGTAGGCCCACAGTATCCATTCAACAGATACACTACTACCAGTTGAAGTAGACAAGTAATCATTGACTTGATTGCACAATGAAAGATTTGTTGTTGGAGTTATAATAGCATAACGTACTTCACCTTTCTGACGTAAGTCATTGTCATCCCAATATGGAGCAATGACAGTAGTAGTAATAGGAAAAGAATTGGGTGTCCAGGCAATAAAACTTGTTCCTAAACTAATCAACCCATTAGTACTTATCTATAAATAATAAGTAAATTAGTCTTGTACTATTTGCTGTTTAGCTAACCCATGCTTCAGTGTGGCATGATGATCCAAATCTTATTAGGGAGGGCAGTGACACATTTACAGCATAATCATCGAAGGCATTGATTTTTGAATAGTCAGTAGGATACAGGAAGGGAAGGTAGTTACTCTCAGAGCTAACAAGGAGACCATTGAAGCAGATAAGTATCACAAACACTATCATCATCTTTCACTGCTGGTATACCAATATGAACTGGATAATCCTAATCCTGGCAGTACATTGTTATAAACGATCTTTACATACTTTTAATCATATCCTGTTTGGCTTATTCAAACTAGTTAGAAGTAACTTATTAGAAATGTTAAGTAATAGTAAAGTGGTACAATAGTGCACGTTAACTTAGTTTGTTCACTGTTAGTTGTTATAGACCATAGACTAAAGTGAGTTTCACATTTAAACAACTAAACATAATGTAACTTGTAAACTTCAAAATGTTAGCTATATAATGCATAACATGAAACCCGTTACCTTGTAAATTGTCTATTGTATATCTCTAAACTTGTTTACAAGCATTATTTCCATTTACATGTAGCTCATATCTGTTACTTATGCACAATATACAAGAGGTTTGGTTCTTGTTCAATTTATGTATGATGGTTGGTTTCTCTGTAGCTTATACTGAAGACAGTGTGGTATGGATCTGGTTCAATACTTGCTTGTCCCTTTTTACTGCCAGTTTTATGTTAAATGTACTGTATCACCTCTACTTGCAGCTATCACAAGCACCCTGGTATAATGTATTAGTGAGGAAATTGTTTAATAAGCTCTATAATGATGATGATGATGAGCCTCTTTTAGATGTAACTGATTCTCATAACTGTTGATGAGCAGAAGAATGATATTGTACCCAGTTCTACTAATGTTTTAGACATTGCAGAGAATCTGTTGTTGATCTGTTTTGAAGCATTCATGCATACACTAACTTGAATTGGGTTTTGTTTATTTTAGCTGACCAATTAGAATTGGTTTTGTTATAATTTTCAAAATTTTGGTTTATTCACCAAAAGTATTATACAAACTTTAACTAAGTAACAGAAAACTGCAATGACAGTATTTATAAGTATTCACTCGATGTTGTGATGTGTTTGTGAAAACGTGGTATTAATACAGGTATTGCAAGACTAGTTATATGTGATTTTATGTGTACAGTGATCTGTAATGTACCTGTGCAGGCTGTGCTCTCTGCAAGTAGTGGAAATAATAGGTTTACATACCCACATTTATAAGTTTATGATCTGATTAATTTTGTTTGTGCAATGTAAAAGTGAGCAATATCAATAATGCTTATGTATCTTGGTCATAGTTTACACCTGTATATATACATTGTAGTCTGTTTATCTTTCTGTGTTAATCATGTGCCAATAACATGTGGATCTGCATTCCAATGATTATTTACACTTGTTTATTAGGTTGTTTGTTAATGTTTACTATAAATATAAGCATAAATTTGTGCAGCCTTTACTCATTAAACTACAATACTTTTAAATGCGTGCGTGAAAGATTTGTTGTTGGAGCTATAATAGCATAATGTACTTCACTTCTCCCACCATATAAGTCTATATAGTCATAATATAGAATGGTATACATGTAGCTACCACCAAAAAAACAATATATCCATAAATCTCAATCTAAACAATAAGTACATTCATTATACTCATACATGTTATACAAGCCTCACATGGGCATAGTTGAAACAAGAGGATCCAAATTCAAGTGTGGATGGGAATGATACATTAACACTATAAGAAGTATTGCTGATTGTTAGATAGTTAGTACTGAGGATACAGGAAGGGAAGGTAGTTATTCTCAGAGCTAACAAGGAGACCATTGAAGTAGATAAGTATCACAAACACTATCATCATCTTTCACTGCTGGTATACTGTGTTGTTATATTGGTGTTTTTTAAACTATTCTTGTTGTTTGAACATCCTGTGTTAGTTAATTGAACAGGTAGTGCTGTCTTATTTATAGAATTTTGTAATCATATCTGAAGCATAATTCATAATACAACTATATTTAATAAGTATCCATGTATTTTTATGAGTAAATTGTAGTCATTGCCTCTTTATCAAAGATGTATTACTTTAAACCATCTCTTCTTTTTGTATATCAGGCAATAAGTATTAAAACCACTATTGTTAAACTGCTGCTTATTAGTTGAAAATTTTATTTTACTGATTAAGAATACAAAATGAAATAATTATTATGTACATGTACAGTACTACTATTCACTCAGCATTATAAACTCTACAACTAATAATCATTAAAATCAAAGGCAATACAAGGGGAAATTGTAACAAAATCAAGTATTTATTTAAAGGCACAGGCGAACACTATTTTTAATTTTTTTACATATTGAAGTCAAATATCATTGATTCTCTTCTCATGACAATATGTGTTGGTGAGTGCAGCTCCTCCTCGTTCAATAGCAGTGGCTTTTGCTCCTCCTCATCTCCTGTTGCAGTGTATTTCTTGATACAGGAACATCTTGCGTGAATATATCTTGCAACTTTAGAACTTACTGGCAGTGTTATGATGACAATGAGAG